CAGCATCCTTCCTGAACAGTTCAACAATGAAGCAGCCATCAAGCACCAACATTTCAATGAACGCCTGTTTGCTCATAAGAATTTCTTCTGCATAGCACTCTCGGGCTTTTGTTTCATAATTTGTGATCTCTCTGATGCATTTCATCAGTGTTGCCTCCGGATCACCATTTCTGTCTAGAAGACCTTGTAAGTAGTCAAACTTGATCTTCTCTTTGTCTTCAAGATGTTTCTCGCCATGGTGAAAAGGGCCGATGGAAAACGCGTTGGGGATGTATGCTTCCTTATTGTGCCTGTGAAGTATGCTGGGAATCCTGAAGATGCAAGGTGTGGATGAACTTTTAGTATCACCACTCATCTTGCTCCTCATGTTAGATGCCATGGATTCAATTTCTCCTGCCATGATCAACTTTTGCCCTCTCCAAGTATGTCTAAGCAAGAATCCTTTCAAGGAAAAATGAAGATAGAGTGTTTCTTAAGCAAAGTAGTATATATGTGAAGAAGAATTGTTAAGAACTCAGCTAAAAAGGGTTCTGTTTTACGTTCAATCCCTGCGATATAAGTAGTGTTATGATGATTGATAGAGGGATACTTCGCTCTCCATGAAAAAATGTACATACTCTAGTTGTTTAATATTATGTATTTTTTTTGTTTTTTTAATCAATACCTTTATTACACTTTTTTCACTGATGGTATAAAAATTTATTAAAGTAAACTTTATTTTCAACATCAATACCATTTAAAATGATTTATGGTTGATAAAGTTAAAGTTAATTTTTGTATTTTTTATGTAAATTAATGGTAAAAATATAAAATAAATGCACCCTTAATTCTTTTTTTTTTACCAATGTACTATTCACTTTAAATAAATGCCTTCAAAAAAGCTGGGATCATTGTCACACTCTAAATAGTTAATGTCACATCATTTTAATGTAATTATCTATTATATCCTTACATTACACATTTTTCCAAAATCTTATATTTTTTTATTTCTTAATAAATTAATGGATATAATAATCAATTAAGATAAAAAGGTGTAACGTTAATAATTAAAAGTGTGACATTAATAATTAATGGTGTGGCAATATCATCACATTAAAAAAAAAAAAAAAGGAATAATACCATAGGATAACTGGTTTCACTTTACAGCCAAACAGCACGTCTCCCACTTTAGTCTAGAGTTAAATTCCATCCCTTTGTTCTTTGGTC